AATCTCAGCACTCGGGAGGTAGAGGCAGGCAGATCTCTGTGAGTTCGAGGCCAGCCTGGTCTACAGAGTGAGTTCTAGGACAGGCACTAAAACTATACAGAGAAACCCTGTCTTGAAAAACCAAAAAAGAAAGAAAGACTTAGAGAGAGAGAGAGAGAGAGAGAGAGAGAGAGAGAGAGAGAGAGAGAAAAGAGGGAGGGAGGGAGGGAGGAAGGAAGGAAGGAAGGAAGGAAGGAAGGAAGAAAGGAAGGAAGGAAGGGAAGAAAGAAAGAACAGAAGGAAGGAAAAGAAAAGAAATGTAACCCTCTTGCAGGGATTTCATGAGGGTGAACGAGACTGAACACACAGCCTAAAGCATTGTATTTGAAGGCTGAAAATTTCAAGTGCAGCCTTGACATCTTAGTCCCAGCAAATCCTAACAACCATGAGCTTCCCTGCTCTCTCCAGACATGTCCCCACCCTGTGGGAAACATTCCCCATTTGGCCAGTTCCCCTCCCAGCCAAGTCAATGTCTCACTACCTGGTCCTCAGCCCAAAAGTCTTACTTCCCCATCAGTCAATGAGGTGATCTGAACAATGCACCGAATCGCCCTATAGACACTCACCATATTGTCACCATGCAGCCTGCATCTCACAGACCCCTTCCAGTTTACTCAGCCCTGGATGTAGCTCTGAGCGCATTCCTCATGTGGTCCGACATGGCATGTACTGTCTGTCAACCCCAGGCTGTGAATTAAGTAACTAACACCCTACTGTCAAACACATCTGATGGCGAGACTAGGTTCAACACGTCCCCATGATGTGCTTGTCTTCACCCGTTTTCATATTGGGAATGAAATGACTAGTCCAAAGTTTCATAGGCAAGAGAGATGAGACAGAGTGAGTCTCACAACTGCTCTTCCAGTGCCTGTGTCGGCCTTGAACTTGCAGCCTCTGGGGCGGCAGCGGTTCTCAACCTTTCTAATGCTTCGACCCTTTAATACAGTTCCTCATGTTGTAGTGACTCCCCCCTCCCCCTGCCCGCGCCCCACTTCCCCGCAACCATAAAACTATTTTCATTGCTACTTCATAACTGCAATTTTGCTACTGTTATGAATTGTGATGTCTGGTGCCGGGCAGTGGTGACGCATGCCTTTAATCCCAGCACTCGGGAGGCAGAGGCAGGTGGATCTTTGTGAGTTCGAGGCCAGCCTGGTCTACAGAGCCAGATCCAGGAACGGCGCAAAGCTACACAGAGAGACCCTGTCTCGAAAAACAAAAAAAATAAAAAATAAAAAAAATGAATTGTGATATCTGTGTTTTCCTATGGTCTTAGGTGACCCCTGTGAAAGGGTCATTCAACTCCCAAAGGGGTGGCAACCCACAGGTTGAGAACCGCTGCTCTGGGGGAAACAGAAGCATTGTGTATGAGCATTGCTTCTCTATGCTGAAATGAAGCTCTTCCAGTCAACTTCGCTCTTAGTAGTGTGGTTAAGGGATGTCACAGGACTGTAGATCCCCTCAAAAGGTGCTGAATCCAAAGGCTGGCCACACGTGAGACTTGTGCGTCATGGAAGAACCCAGGGAAGTAGACAAGGAAGACCTTGACCTTGGTCACTTGGGCCTTGGCTCAGTGCCTTGGGCTCAGGGCTCTAGCTGGGAGACGTTGTGGTTGGTGGTCAGGCTTGTCTACAGTCCTTCAGTGAGAAAACACCAAGCTCCTTGGCCCCAAGAACAAACTTTAGGACCACTGCCATGTTGCTATGGAACCCCTTACCCCATCCACTATTTAGGGAGCTGGGAGTTGTAAGATAGGTCCAAAAGTTGGGTTGGGGTGGCTTTGGCCAACCTGCAGCTAGCTAGTCCTTATCCATGCCTCCATGGAAGCTCTCTGACCCAAGGAGAGGGGAGATGTCTGGTTTCTGATCACTGGAACCCAAGCTTCTCTCTACAGGGACAGGTTGAGACCGGTGAAAAGAGACTTTCACCAGGCAGCAGAAAAGTTACCACCTGACCTGGATCCACCTTCCTCAAGCGCCAGGGGGTTCCAGCCTGTCAGGATCCCAGGCATTTTGTGAATAAAGAAACCAGGTCTCCCAGCCAGATCTCAGATGCTAACACAATGTCGGCCAGGCACCCTCAGAACAAGCCACTCTCAGGCTGTGGCTGTCACTAATCCCCCTCACGCAGATGAAGAACCTGAGGTTCACTGTGAAGATTGTTTTAAGCATCAGCCTGGGGCTGAAGGGAGCATTTGAGGCCTGTGCTGGCCCCAGTGTTCTATCAGTTCAGCTTCCTCTAGAGCACCTGGCCATGAGGACCAGAAGCCACTCTGGCTGGTCATGCCTGCAGTCAGGCCAGGAGAGCTGCAGGGTTCCCTCTGACACCCAGTGTAATACCATGTGCTGGCTTCCAGCACAGCAAGGCCAAGTCACCTTCCCTGACTCCTCCTTGAGGTCCCTGCTCTGCTCGTATCACGGGACACTCCTCCTTGTACCTGCTTGAGTCCGGCCACTCTTCCCTGAGGCCGTGGCCAGATGTTACCCAACTGAACATGGAGGGAAGCCAGGGAGCCAAGGAAATTTGGCAAATGACCAGAAACGGGGCTAGGTAGATGACAGGAGCTCAGTACTCCTTCAAGAGTGAGTTTTGGCTGGAAGACTCTGGGGAATTCATTGACCTTTAGTAGAGGGCACATCTTACTGCTGGCATGCGTGTCCACACTGCCACCTCTTGAACCTGGTCACACATGGCTTTCCTGTTATGAAATGAATTCATTTCGGAGAACAGCCATTTCCCTGTACCTCTTGGAACCCAAAGAAACACTGAGGATTTCATAGGAGCTGGAGTGTGAAAAGTAAGAGCCCCTGGACTAGGATGGCTGTCACCCCTTTCCTCGTTCCCAGTCAGAGGGTATTTCTTTGCCTCTACCTGGTAGCTCAGCAGCAAATAGAACAATGGCTGTTTCAGAGGAAAGGCCATTTCCTGCTGACAGCGTGTGTGCCTGCTTTAGGCTCCAGAGCTTCTGCAGAGGGGTGACCACCTCCCCAAGGCCAGACCTCATCCGGTGCTGCTGACCTTGGCAGTACAATGTCAACACCTGGCTCTGCCCTGGGTCAGATCTGACAATGTTGGCCTAATCCCTACTGCCCAGAGAATTTCTAATGAAGAGAACTGTCTGAAGCTCAGGCTTCAGAGTGGAAGGGATTCCGTTGTCTCTGAAACAGGGTGGAATGGAGGGAAAGAAGTGACCTCTCCCTGCTTTCTTCTGCTCATCCCCGGGCCAACTGGGATATCCCACAGGCTCTTCCAGCTCTTCCTGGGGGAGCTGGGATGACAAGGGAACTCCTGAAGAGGGAGGTGTGTCTGGGACGATATCACAGCACCTTGCTGGTCCTGACATCCAGGATGACGTGAGCTACAGGCACAGCTGCTTTATCCTTTATCCTGGACGCCTCTTGTCTGGGGTGTGTGTGCTGCTGTCTCCAGCTTGCTGAGTGATCACAACCTAGTGAGTGTGAATTGCACAGAACTCTAACACACACACACACACACACACACACACACACACACACACACACACACACACACACACACACACACACACACAAATGTATTCCTGGAGACTTTCTGGGAAGCCCAAGACACATGCTTCTTATAAGAACCTCTTCAAATATTATTCCATACGGAGCTCCTGAACCATGACATCATCTGAACCCTCTGACCACTGATGGGGGGTGAATTCACCCCAGATCTCAGACCCAAGGAGGCCTGGATTAGAAAAAGAGACAAAAGGGGGTGTGAGAGTGGAGGGGCGTGTCTTAAGGGCTCCCCATTCCCACCCTTCGGCTTTCCGAAGGCTGGCTTACCTTTTAGGGAGTAAAAATCTCTTTATTCAGTTAACGAACTGAATCAGGAAAGGAGAGCTTGTAACAGAGCAGTGTCTCTTTAGAATCTCCTATCCCTTGAAGATAGCCTGGAGTTCCTGGGTACCTGACGCAGAAGACTCCTGTGTGGTGTGTATGGTGGGAGGCTGGGAGAAGGATCTAGAATCGGGTTCTGGAGCTAGTTAGAAACTGAGAAGGCCCGGGGTGGGAGGGGTAGGCTAAGGCCAGGGGTTGCTCACTCCCAGGCCTGACTCCTTGAGTTGGCAGGGAGAGGAAGAGGCTACTACGCAGGAGCGGGCCTGGAGCTGTCCACGCCAAGGTGCTGAAATCGGATAGCAGCGGCCTAAAAGGAGGAGCCCCCAGGAGGCTGCGCTTCCGCCACAAGTTAGAGGGGGCGGGTATAAAGGGATTCCCTCTCGATCCCCCTCTGCTTCTTATCCTCAAAGGAAGCGCACGAACAAGTTGGGGCAAGAAGATGGGTTGAGCTTTGAGAAGTATGCAGCCGTCTGAAGCTGTGGTCAGCTTGGGGAAAGAGGGCCAGGATCCTCCGGAGAGCAAGGTGCAATCTCAGCCAACCGTCGTAGGGGACCAGCAGGGAAAGAACCCTGAAATTCTCTCTGACCTCCTGCACTCAGGGAAAATGCCACGAATGCAAAGCTAAGAAGGATACACAAGGCGTTCCCATGTACACGGGTGGCACGAACACATTTGCACATAGATCCCCGGGAGTAGGTGCACACACACTGTATGGACACACAAAACACATCCAAGCAGTTCTGTTCACTCTCTCTAGACACCAGCCCTGGTTCCCACCAGGCCACCTAGGTACCTCTCCAGCATCACCCGGGCCCGGTGTGGCCTGGACGTCCCTCCCACTTTGTGTCTGGGCCTCAGATGGTGACCCCAAGGGAGGAACAACCAGTAAGGAAACCCTAATTCTAGCCTGAGACCAGGGAAGATGCTGACGTGGAGCCGTCGGCTCTTGGGCCCACAACGAGGAGGTGCGACGGACCGAGAGGGTACCTCCTAAGACACCCCTTCTTCTTTCCCCAAACGCCCATTTATGGTGCCAGGACAGTAGAGGAGAGTGTGTCTCCCTCCCAAACTGAAGACACCCAGAGGACCAGCGCGTACCTGTGCGTGGGAGGCCCCGCGTGGAGCCCCCCTCAGCGAGTCCGGACCTGCTGGCTCCTCTGGCTCCCCTTGGATAGATGTGGGTTAGGAGTGGGGGTTACCCTGCTTGCCCTCCACAGCGCCTCCTGGATGTCCGTGGGCAACGGAGAAACTCCGTTCCCGGCAGTGGGAAGTTGCCTGTGTTAGAGCTCTGGGAGGGGGTGTCCTCCGGTCTCTGGGCTTGGCCAGGGCTGCTACGCCCCCGCACCTGCCGCCCTCGCCACCTCGCCGGCACCCTCCCGCCCGCAGACTGCGCGGAGCCTGAAAGCCGGGAGCCCGCCCGCCCTCCCGGAGAGTCTGCTGCTGACCTGCATTGACGTCATTGCGTCATTAGGTTTCCCCTGGAAACACTGGCTCGCCCGAAATAGTAACACATTAATTCAGGCCGGGGGAGCAGGAGAGACTGTTTGTAACCCTGCAGCTAACTCCGCGCGCGAGCGAGCGCGCAGCAGCCCCCACCCCTCCCGAGAGCAGTGCCGGCAGCGCTCGCCTACTATTTTGAGAACAAAGGAAGGCAAATTATAGAATCCCAGAGAGAGAGAGAGAGGTGGGGAGAAAGAGTGCGGGGGACGCCGAGACCCTTTCGCCTTGCACGCGCAGACACCCACGGACACACACGTGTGCGCGCCACATCTGGGTCTATCTACCCTCGGGTGGGTGGGTCACGCGTTTAGGCTCTCTCGTGGACCTGCTGTTGTGTGCGCCAGAGTCCAGGTGCCCAGGAGAGGTTCGAGTCAGGATATAACGTCCTACTGGGTTTGAGGGACTACCTTCCTCCCACCACCCGAGACTCAGCACCGCAGGCGGGTCCGCCCACCTGCCTTCCACCGCAGGGTCCAGCGCAGCCCTGGGGCCAGAGCGCGAGACTCTCCTCCCGGAAGCAGGGACACCCTGCCCTTTCTCCTCCAGCTGTGCCCCCCTGCGGGTGGAGGAAACCCCGCAGGGATCCATCCTACTTCCCGAGGTTCGCCCCAACCCTGGGCGGAGGATGGGCTGGACACTACCGGTGTGTGGTCTAAGAGGGAGCCTCCTCTTAGAAGGTCGATTGATTTGGGAAAGTCTGAGGACCCGGTTGCTGTCGTAAGTTCCAGAATCCTTTGGGCCAAGAAGTGACCGACTTCTCTGAGTGCCACTTGCTTCAGACTCTCCCCCTAGGACAAGCAAGCCGGGGGATGAAGGAGCAGGCTGTCTAAGGGGGAGCCCTTGACCTCAAAGATGCTTGGTGTATGCACTTCCCAGTCTGAGCCCTTGACTCAGTCTCTTTCCACCAAATCAAAATAGTAAACGCTGAGCCTAGGGCTGTCAGCCAAGTCGGGGAGAAGAGGTGGCCGCTGAACGGCAGAGCTCTGCTGAGGCAAAAGGCCAGCAGGTCCTGCGGGGTGGATGGCAGGTGGGGAGTGAGGCCGGGCGTTGAACTGACCCCTGCCTTCCCCTTTCTCAGGAGGTTCTCAGTAGCCAGAGGTTCCCAGAGGTTTCTGTTTCATTCCACTCCAAGGTTGCTCACCTCTGCTCACTCTTAGCAGAGAAGCGTGAGACTTGGGTCCCAAGGTTCCTGTCTGCCTGTCCCTGTGTCTAGAGCCCACCTTTCCCTCTGGTAAAGGAAGCGATGGGCTTTCACACATCACCACAGAGGAAGTTCATTAGCCACAGAGACAAACAAACCTAGCTGTCTCTATTAGGTAGGAGCCAGACTAAGAACAAGATTTGGAATAGGCGTGCCCCATCGGGTGCCTGGGAAGCTGCGTGGCTCAGCCTCCCCAAGCGGCTTTCTCTCCCTGAGCCAGAATGTCCTTGACTGTGCAATGAGGCCAGGAGTCCCCTTCTTTTAATTACTTTTTTCCTTGTTCTGACAAAAACAATTTAGGGAAGGGGGGAGCTTATTTTGGCTCACAGTTTGAAGAAATACAGTCTATCCCAGGGGGAAGATACCGCAGTGGGAGGGGCCACAAGTCAGGAAGTAGAGAGACTGATGCTCTGCTGTCTTCTTTCCCTCTTTTTATTCTGCCTGGGACCCAGCTCTTGGGACAGGGCCAGACAGATTCAGGATGGGTCTGTCTTATCTCTTAGTTAAACCTGTCTAAAAACACCCTCAAGTCACACCCATCGGCGTATTTCCTGGGTATCTCTAAATCCGGCCAAGCTGGTAATGAAGATTAACCAAAACAGCCCTCCACGGGGCTGGATTGTGATGATTCAAGAGATAGAACACAAGAGATGATACAAGAATGTGCTGAAGAGATGGTACGCCTTCTTCCTGTTCCCATCCAACAAGAGATTCTCTCAGCTATGAGTGAACCTACCTTTTCTATTCTACACACACTTCCTGGCAACATATTTGGGGACACTGGTCAAGGGACATCTGGGGAACGGTGACACTGAGGGTCCTGTCCCCTCCAAAGATGATACTGCAGTCTTTCCTTCAATGCCATCCATCGGCCTCTGTATGAGTGCCCCTCCTGCAGCAAAGCAGCTCTAACGCTTTCAGATTCAAGTACAGCCAAATGGTTGTAGTAATGGTTGTGTGTGGTGATCTGGCTTTCTGCCTCCCTCTATGGTTATTTAACAGCAAGATGTGCACCAAATCTGCATGGTCTGGACATCTACCCTCCATCCTTCCCCTGCGCAGGACTTCTGTCCCATTAAGCTGTGGCCTGCATCTGCTTGTCTGCTTCCCTGCCTGGACCACTGTTTTCTCAGTTCCTCCTGGCACAGGGCCTGGCAACCACCACCATGTGCTTGTGAACAGAGACTGGAAATCCCTCTTTAAACATCTGTTTCCAAAACTCAGATCAAACGTTGACCCCCTTGTTGCAGGCCTCTGATCACCATGGTGGTGGGATTTTTTTTTTTTCCTGAGACAGGGTTTCTCTGTGTAGCTTTGAGCCTTTCCTGGAACTCACTCTGTAGCCCAGGCGGGCCTTGAACTCACAGAGATCCGCCTGCCTCTGCCCCCCAGGGCTGGGATCAAAGGTGTGTACCACCACCACCCAGCTGGTTGTAGGATTTTATGTCATAAGTCTCTGACCACCTGGAAGGAGGGAGCACCTGGCTTAATCATTTGATGGCCATTCCCTGAGTAAGGCGTATAGCCTTCTCCTGGGACAAATCTCCTCAGAGCCGGAAGTGGGTCTTACACATTAGGGCCCCAAAGTGCTCCCCCCACAATGTCAGTGCTAGTAAAAATGTTCTAACAGAATGACTTTAACCAGGTAGACAGAAGGATTGTTACTGGTAAACGATAGCTCTGGAGGCCTGTGCTGGGAGAGACCTTCTCAGATCTGGAGGATACGTCTGAGGCTACCCAGCCCCTGGAAGGGACTTCCCAAGGCAGTGTCTTTCCCACTTTTCCTCCAGCCTGAGGGAGTCTGAAAGAGTGTGTTTGGCAATATGTGAGGATGAGGCGAAGATGAAGAAGGAAGAGGCCCACGGCCCGCCCAGTGAGCTGTTGTGTAGGAAGGCCAGTGTTTACAGTCTCAGAAAAGACTCCAGTCCCACCCAGGCCCACAGTAATGTCCGGGACAGCTGCTAGCTCTCTCCACATACAGGCCTATAACTGGTTCTCTCTTTTGCCCAGCCTTTCTTGGCCACATTGCCCCAAGACTGTCATAGTTTCTACCGAAAGTCTCTAGGGGCCTGCTGGGTCCTCTACTCTAACGCTTCTGAGCCTCTGAGGTGAGGTGAGAGGATTTCTCAGTGTGGGAAGGGGCAGCCACACCTCGCTTTGCCTGCTGGGTGCTACGAGGGCCTTTCCTGCCATTTTAGCGGCTTCTGTCCAAGGACCTCAGTCAGGCCTCCCCAGGAAATTGGGCTAGCTGTGAGGAGGCGTGGGAATGAGGAGGTGGAGCTTCTGGACATGTGTGCACATGGTGAGCACTGAAACACACTGGAAATGTGTGGAAGGTGGTTTGAAATACACACAGGGACCTCTCTTCACTGACTGGGCTGACTCTGTAGGTGAAGAGGGTGCAAGGCTCAGGTCCGAGCACTGTTGAGAATGTTGGCTTCTGGCTCATTCATCTCTGCTGCCTCCTGCCTTTATCTCGGGATCTTCAGTTCAAATTCAGGGGAGAAAATGAATCAGAAGGGCTCAGGTAAGAACGTGGATAGAGAGGCCTCCTCACAGAAGTGCTGGGGCATGCTGTGGGAAGCAGGGAAGCCAGGGAAAGACACCCCCACCACCCGAGGCTTGTTCTTAGGGTGCTTTTGTTCTGTTTCTGTTTTTGAGATAGGGTCTCACTGTGTATCCCTGGATGGCTTGGAACTCACTGTGTAGACCAAGCTACCCTCAAACTGACAAAGGTTTGCCTTCCCAAGGCCTTACTTTTCGACCTGCAAAGGCAAAGTGAATAATACGAGCAGCCGAGTCAAGGAGAAGAAGGCCCAGATTTGGAATTAGAACTGCCTTCTAATCCCACTAGGGCCTGAATCAAGACGAGGGGTCACTCCTCCCCCAGCCCCCAATTCCAGACTCCTTTAACCACTTGTTTTATAAGCTGGTGGATTTCAGCAGAGGTGTGAGACCTGCTGATGACCTCAGCTTCGGTGGAGACTGGCTCAGAGCTTGGGGAGCAGGTGACAGAGTCCTCTACTCTCTGGGGCTTTGCTGTGGTTAGGCCCTCTCCTTCCAGCCAGCCCTCCCTGTGAAGTGTGGTGGTTTAAATGAGAAAGGCCCTCATAGGCTCCTACGCTGGAGTAGTTGGCCCAAAGTTGATAGAACTGTTCAGGAAGAATTAGGAGGCATGGCCTTCTTGGAGGAGGTGTGTCACTATGGGTTGGGCTTTGAGGTTTTATTTACTTATTTATTTATTTAGTTAGTTGTTTCTCTGTGTAGCCCCAGCTGCCCTGGTATTCACTTGGTGAAGCAGGCTGGGCTGGCCTCCAACTCAGAGATCTGCCTGCTTCTACCTCCCAAGTGCTGGGATTAGTGACCTGCACCACCACCACCTGGTTTGGCTTTGAGATTTTAAAAGCTTACCCCATTCCCAGTTAGCTCTCTCTGTCTCATGCTTGTGGATGTGTGTTCTCAGCTGCAGCTTGAGCACCATGCCTGCCTGCTGCTGCACTCCTCACCATGGTGGTTATGGCCTCTAACCCTCTGGAGGCGTGAACCCTGAGGTAAACATGTTCTTTACAAGTTGCCTTGGTCATGGGCTTTTGTCCCAGCAATAGGAAAGTAACTAAGACGTTAGACCTCATCCTCCATTGTCTGGCAGTCTCTTATACAAAGCAGTAGTGTCATGGCTCCTAAGTTCTTCCCAACCATCCGGGAGACTGTCCATTCATTCTATCAATCTTTAGCAATCTCAGCTGACCCACTCCACCTCTACTTAAATTGTCCCCTTCTGGTTTCCTGGTCCTTGACCACCACCACATTTCATTATCCCAGGCTCTGTTCAGGTTTTGCTCTCAGTATCTATTTGCCCACAGATCTAACTAGATCCTTAGAGATGCCGTCACCTCCATCATTATTTTATTGACTCCCATGTTGGAACCTGAGATCCTGGAAACTCTGCACACACTCCCTTCCTTCATTCCTCTAGAACCGCCGTCCACTAGCCACATTCTCCTGGCTTTGGGGTTGCTTAGGATGGCCTTCGGATTCAAGAACACCACTTGGCTCTTGCGCCCCGAGGTTAAGCCCTGCTTTCTGGTAGAGGAGCACCTGTGCACGTTGCTGTTTGGAGCAGAGGTGGAGGTAGCTGAGCAGCAAATGATGAAATGTGCAAAGTCTGCCAAGGATCCAGAGGCATCAAGCCAAGAGGAGATAGGTCCAAACTGAAGAGCAGACTGTGTGCCAGCTTAGCTGGGACGGGCAAGTTGTGCCACCTGCATTTGGGCAAGGGAAGGCTTATGCAGGTGGAAAAAGTAGGTCAGGTCTACAGAGAGATGATACGGGCTGAACCCCGAGGCAAGGGGGACATAAAGGGGCTAAGGAAACGGGAGGAAGGCAGGTGGGATCACCTTGATACAGCAGTTCTCAAGCTGGCTTTTCATCGGGGTCCCTGGGAGATAATTTGGCCCAACTTAAAGTGAATGAGAATGTACTCAGACCCTGATTCCCAGAAAATTACACATTCATTAGTTTGGGGTGAGGGCCAGGAATTGATAGTATTTAATATTTCACTTGTACTTTGTGATTTGTTGGCAATTTTGTACCATGCTATTGGAAATTATTTTTAATTTGTAATGCAGTTCAAAGGAGTCGAGACCTGGAGTGGAGCGAAGTCCTCACTGCTGGGATCTGGCTCCTGACTCACTGGCCAGGAAAGATGCCCTGAGCTTCCTGTCGCTTCCTCCCTCTGCTGTAGAGTGGTGACAGCAACATTACCAGCCTCTCCCAGGGCTCTTTGTAGGTCCATGAAATAATGCCTTTGCACTGAGAGCCAATCCACCAGGCATGAGTCCTGTTAAATGACTTCCCAGATATAGCTAATGTATAGCTAGGGCTCTAATGTATAGCTAGGGCTCTAATGTATAGCTAGGGCCGAAAGACCTCAGCAGAGAAACACAGGTGGGAAGGTCAGAGAAAATGGCCTGTCCTGGGGACTTAGTGTTGGGAACAATTATCAGAGGAAGGAGAAACTAAACATCCAGGTGAAGACTAAATTACGATATTGTCCTATTAAGCATAAGTGAAGCCTACGTTTGGGGGGTTGAGGATAAGGAAGGAATGACCTGATGAACATAATGATATTCAGGAATCTGGGGTTGTGCAGCTCTGACTGAAGGGAAGGAGATGGGGTTTGGAAAACAGTAAGCTCAGGAGGGCTGGGGAAGTTGCAGAAGGGGGAGCGTTTCAGAGGAATCACGAAGAAAAACTGGACGGGATTCAGTACCTTAGTGGACTAAGTCTCAGAGAGGTTGAGGAAAGATCATTAACAAATTCTCACAGCAGGAAGACTAAGGGTAGCTCCTGTGGCAGTTGGGAGGGAGTGTATTCCACTGAGTATCAGTGGCTTGAACACAATTCAAGTTCGTTTCTCTCCCTGTTAAAAGTCCAGATGCAAACCGTTTAAAACTGTTACAGTATTTCTGTCCCAGGAAGTCTGTGGGGTCCGATCTCTAGTTCTCATGGAACTAGATTCTGGTACTTGGGGTCCAGGATCCATAAATGGGGAAAGGAACGGAGAGAAACGAACGAGTAAAGAGGACTAGGGGTGTTGTTTCATTGACAGAGTACCTGTGTAGCATTCCTGGACCCTGGCTTTGATCCCTCCCCTCCATAAGGGGCATGTGGTACCATACACCTGCATTCTCAGAATGTAAGGGAGGATCAGAAGTTCAAGGTCATCTTTGCCTGCACTGTCTGACCTACACAAGACTCTGGAAAAAAAAAAAAGCAAGAATCGGGGTCTCTTGAGAAGGCTCCTTATGGCCACTCATCATTTACTTACATTCCTTTGCTAAAGAAAGACTCTCGTAGCTACACCTATTTTCAAGAAAAGACAGAAAGTCTGATCTTTATTTTCTAATTAGGTTTGTATCAGTTATCTATGTTACCCCTGGTGAGAGAAGCAGAACCCAGGGGTCAGAATTTAGGGAAGCACCAATAGTCTCTACAATTGCCTCGTTTCTTCAAATGGTGAAGTTGAATCATGGAGTCCATTGGGGAAAAACCATTTTTAAAATGCATTGAATTGGAAACCTGAGTGCAGAGTAATGTGTTATAAGACAGACGAAATTTCAGGACGGCCCCGAGATCTCTGGCTTCTTTTGTGCACACCTGTCCAATCCCTTACCTGTGGGTAGGAGTCTAGACGTGCAATCCCTTACCTGTGGGTAGGAGTCTAGACATGATGGCAGTTTTCAAGGGAACATTTTGAGTAGAGTAGAGGAGACGCAAGGCAAATGTAGAGGGTTAACGAGGAGGAGGCAGCCAGCCACGTGAAAAAAAAAATCTTAGCACAGTACTCAGAATCTCCCATGAACTGGCTTCTGCCTCCCTCTCTAGACACTTCTGTGGGTCAGGTCCCTTAATATCTTGATCCAGCTCTACCCAACCTCTCCATACTTGGTGGTTTCATTTCCACAACCCCTGGCATGTCCTCTGCCTGTTCCCTTTACCGTTTCCTCCTACTCAAGTTCCAATCTCAAACCGTACATTGCTTTACCACTAACCCACAAAGACTAATAGACGTCTCTTTGTAGTACGTACATGGTACCCCAAACCTCACTCCATCGTGTTTTTAGACTTCTACAGTTAATTATGAGTTTATCTCCCTTGCAAGATTCTGGAAAACAGGCACACAGCAGATTGTCTTTGTAGCCACAAAATGTAGCACAACTCCTGGTGTACAGTGAACTCTTCTGTATGTGGGCAACAGATTAAAAAAAGATCCCTCAAGAACTGGTATCAAGAGAACATAGGACAGGGGACATTTATTCTGGGACTGGTAGACAGAATGGGAGGACAAATGTGGAGTGGGAAGCTTTAAGTGAGGACTCATGATAATCAGGTTCCTCTGTTGCCATCCAGGAAGGATGAATTTTGGCACTTTTAATAAGCAAGATCTGGTAAACATTCGTTTAGACAGTGAGTGATGTGATCTTGATAACTAAGACGGTAGGGTACAGGGGAGTCAGGCATGTCTGTTTTCTTTCTTTCTTTCTTTTTTTGTTTTGTTTTTTTTTTGTTTGTTTGTTTTTTGTTTTTTGAGACAGGGTTTCTCTGTGTAGCTTTGCACCTTTCCTGGATCTCGCTCCATAGACCAGGCTGGCCTCAAACTCACAAAGATCCACCTGCCTCTGCCTCCCCAGTGCTGGGATTAAAGGTGTGTGCCCCTGCTGGGATCTTGGGGTCCTTTTCCCTTAGGCTTGCTCTCCCAACTGCTACCCTACCCAATTCCATTTAATTCAACAGAAGTTAATTAAGGACTTACTGTGTGTCAGAGCACTTTTCTTTCTCTACAGTGGCCAGTCATTGAGGATGCAGCTAGGAACAAGAAAAACTCTATATTCACGGACAGGAGAACAATGTAAGTGAGTTCGACCATTTCAAGTGTGGGGGAGGCAGTGGCAGGGCCACCTTGGCCTGTTCCTTCACTCTTCCTCATTGCCTCTGATTCCAGCCACAGCCATGGGGGACAAATCTTCATGAACCCAGATCCATCTCTGTCGGCAGTATCTCCCTTGAAGCTTATACACTCCAGATTTGTGTGATCACACCTTGTGGCCTGCACAGAAGTCTGTGGCTCATGGCCCGCCCTAGGGAACCTAACCAAACACAGTGGGCTCTCAAAGTGTGAGAATTCAACCTGGCAGGACTTCCTGAGGCTTTCTTAGGAAGCTCTTAGGAAACTGACTGGTGCAGAAGGAGGTGGAGGATGGGGGTACGCAGGGCCCGATGTGAGCAAAGGCTCAGAATCCATACTGGGCGTGTTTTGGAAGAGCTGAAAGACCACCGGGGCGGAAGTGACAGTGAGGTGGTGAGACCTGGGTGCTGAGCAGGTGTGACTTACAGTTTCTGTAAGACAGACTTCATCCTGAGGCAGTGAGTGGCTCCTGGTGGTTTTCAGTAGGGATGAAACATAATTAAACGTTCATGCTATTAGGTTCACTGCCACATAGAAGGTGGGAGGGAGCAGAGAAGCCATGGGGATTGTCCAAGTAGCTGAGAAGCTGATAAACACCCAGGGAAGGGGAGGAAGAGGGGTGGGTTGACTCAAACAGACGGAACTTGAAACTTGAGTATTTAGTGAGGTGTGCTGGTGCAAGGAGGGGGGTGTTGGGTTAAGGATGACATTCTGATTCAAGAAACTAGGCAGAAGGCTGAAGAGATGGGCCAGTGGTTAAGAGCACATACCATTCTTGCAGAGGACCCGAGTTCGGCTTTTAGCACCCATAGCAGTCAGGTCCCAACCACCTGCAGCTCCAGCTCCCGAGGATTCAGTGCTTCTGGCCGTCTGCACCCACATGCACATGCCCCCACACAGGCACACAGGCGTAAATAAAATAAAGTCAATTTAAAAGAAACTGGATGGATATATGGAAAATACTGACCAAGGCGTGCATTTGAGGAAACAGATGAGACATTACATTATTAAGTTCACTGTGTCCCCAACAGAGACCAAATGCAAAAATCCTAGAAAGTGTGGGATCAGGGGGATGGGAAGAGACCAATCCCCCTGTGTCAAAGGATAAACTTGCTCACCTCATTTTGTAAGTTAGCATTTTGGTGGCTTACAAAGGTCTGAGTCAGTTTCTGGGGAAATAGGCTGGTTCAGCTTGGTGCTGAGCTCCCCAGGGCTCCTACTATGGACACTTCCTTGTCCTGGAAGCTTCTGAGGCTTCAGGTTGCTCAGCGGCGTCTGCCCTCCCCCACAACACCTCTATAAATAGGTAAGTTAAGGGAACACAGTTGCTCTCAACCAAATGGTTCCTGTCTCATCTTTAGATGCCTCCATCAATATCTGTGAATCAGAGTCTAGGACAGTGACTAAAAAAGCCATCTTTATTTAGGATGGAAAAGAGAAGGGGGAGAGCCGTGATGTTGCTAGGAATAAACTACTGCTCTTGTCTTCTCTTCCTGAGGAGGCCAGAGGAGGTGGACTTGGGATTTAGCTGCAGAGCTGATTCTCAGGCGGGGGTGTGTGTGTATGCTGGGGAGGATGGAGATTCTCCCTTCCTCCTCCCACTCCTGGGATGTTCAGCAATATCTGGGGGCATTTGGGGTTATCCTGACTAGTGGTGGGTGGGTGGGGTTTGTTTCTGGTTCTAGTGGGTAGACGCCAAGGATGCCACTACGGGCCTGCGATACGTAACCTCCACACGGAAGAATATCTGGCCCGGAAAGTCATAGCGCCAATGGTGAGGTGCCCTGAGTTAGAAGGTTTTATTTTAACTTCTTGTGCAGGTGTGAGTCAGCGTGTGTATGCACGTGTGTGTGTGTGTGTGTGTGTGTGTGTGTGTGTGTGTGTGTGTGCATGTGGTTAACTGTTGTTCCTCAGGGTCCATTCACCGTTTGTTTTTGTTTTTTTGTTTTTTTTTGAGACAGGGTTTCTCACCTGGTCTGAAACCTGTCAAGGGAATGAGAATGACTGGACAGCAAGCCCTAAGAGTCTTCCTGTGTGTGCCTGCGCAGTGCTGGAATTCAAAGCATGTGTCACCATGCCCAGTTTTTGTTTGTTTGTTTTGTCTTATCGTGGCTCTGGGGATCAAACTCAGGTCCTCATGTGTTCATAACAAGTACTTTACCAACTCAGTCATCTCTTCAAGCCTATTTTAACTTCTTTGTGTGCGTAGGGCTTGAGGCCTTATGCATGACAAGAACTGTACAGCTGTGCTGAATCCTTGGCTTTCAATTTCTTCTGAAACAGAATAAAAAGACTCCCAGTCCCCCTAAAGGAAACAAAGGTCATTTATTGGATTGCTTGTTGAAGGATGTGGTGGTGAGGGCTGATTTGGACTGGATGGCCATCAGGAGCCCAGCTCTCTCCATCAAATGTCTTTGTTACTATTTGCCTCTTCTCGGAGCTAACTGGCTAAAACGTCTGAAGGAAGTAGGGCTGGGAATGGAGTTCAGTGGTAGAGCACTTCTTAAATTCATGGAGACCTGGGTTCCATCCTCCACACCAGCAAACAAGTGAACGTCTGCAGGAAGCAGCCTCATAGTTCCACCACCGCTGCTCCCGTGCAGACTATTTCTCCATATTGTGGCATTCTGTGGCTTAAACAACAGCCTTTGGATGGGAACTTAGCTCTTCATCCAACTAGAGGCCATGTTTAAACAAGGAACAATGCCAACACCTTCCCTGGCTAGGAGGCTCTGAGTAAGGTGGTGTGAGTTCCAAGGGGGTATTGGGTAACCAGCATTTATATTGCTCTTTCTACGTGGGTAAAGGAAAGATCTTTTTATGTGTGTCAAAGATGGCTAAGTACAAATACAAGAATGGTTTTTCCTTTTTTAACTCCAAAACTGCACTTTGCATTGTGATAGGCACATACTACATGTGGCTACTTAAGCTTAAATCATTTAAAGTTAACTAAAGGGGCAAGGAGGCAATTCAGTGGTAGAGCACTTGCCTAGAGTTTATGAGGACCTGGATTTGCTCCTTAGCAAAACACACACACACACACACACACACACATACACACACACACACACACACACACACACACACACACACACACACACACACACACTCATGCACACATACACAATTTCCTGCCCTTATAGCATTAGCCACATTTTCAGAGCCTGGAACTCACATGTGGCCCCTGGTTCCTGTGTTGGATGGCATACACAGAGACCATTTCTGTCATTACACATGTGGTGACCCACAGTTCCAAAGGAAAATGGTACTGGCCAACAGGAAGCTTGGCTGTGTCTAGAAACACATGTTAGGGCAGCCCTGAGAAGAAACCTGAATTTTTTTTATTTATCCACAGTCCTTAATGCTTGGAATGCATGGCATGCTGTGAGGAACTGCATTTGTTCCCAAGTTCATACCTTGGCTAGGTATGTCCCCCAGGGGTGTATGCCTCTGCTCACTGAGGGAGGCAGGAGCCTGGAGAATAGTTTTACCCGAGGAGGATTGCTATAACTTACGGTTCACAAGGGTGCTATTGATGTTTTAAAGGTAAAGAGCAGTTGAAGAGCTATGAATAAAGCATAGTAAGCGTTTCAAAGACCGTGACAATAGATGTCATATGGGACTCTGCCTCGCAGGTAAACAAGGCCAGAGCTGTTAGTCTTGCTGGCATGCTTTTACAGGTCTACCAGGGCTTCCTCTCTCAGGTCTCATCTTCCTCGGCTTTCCTTTCCTATCCAAGTCTCTAAAGAGAATACAGTCTTCCCTCACTGCCCACACATGCGGTGTCTCTACTTCCCATCCAGTGCTCACAGCCTGTTCTCGGCTCAGGACAAGAGTGCACCCCCATTCCTGTGATGAGGACTGAGCTCCTGTGATGAGTCTGGGCAGTCAGCAGAAGCTTTCACTGCTCTTCACCACACCATCTAATAGCTGATGTGGGACTTCCAGGGGTCTCCTTGTGGCATAGCCACCAGCAACATTCAAGATGACCTCGGTTCCACCATCCTGGATCCCTGAGAGGCCACCACATTGACAACTCTGACAGGAACAAACCTGTGCTGTTTCAAGCATTGGTACTTGGGGACTTTATTTTCCCAACATCATCTAATCAATCAGCCCAGTCACGTGACATGCTTCTTGTGTGTTTCTCTGTCGATCTTACTGACTATGATACTGTAGTCTGCTGTGTTTATTAGCTGAAGGTGTTTCCTGTGTCTTGGAAAGAAAAGCAAATTTAAGTGGTTTTTTTTTTTTTTTTTTTGGTTTTTCGAGACAGGGTTTCTCTGTGTAGCTTTGCGCCTTTCCTGGAACTCGCTTTGGAGACCAGGCTGGCCTCGAACTCTTAAGTTTTTATATTTGTGCCAGTCACTGGACTTGGATGCTGACATGGCTAATCTTCTTAAATAGATTGATGTTCTGGAATCTTGAAGAAGGAGCCCCTTCACCTGCTGAGAAAGGGAAGTCTGTCTTTCCTAAACTGGTTAAGTAGCAGCTGTCTTCATGGGTCTCTGCAAAACAATCTCAAGGCAGACAGCATTTTTGGAAAGAAACTCACTGTGATTAATAACATCGATGAGTCCAAGAGGAGAAAAAAACACTGAGAAAGAAAAGACAGCATCTGTGCTGATCTAGAGGCAGAAGTCACCCTGCTAGTGAAATGGACATACAATTCTTGGTCCAAAAAAGGGCTCATTCATTCATTCATTCATTCATTCACAAACATTCATTGAGCATTTAATATATGCTCTGCCCTGATGGACCTTATAATCAGGTGGACAACTCAGACACTGCTTTAAACACTTGGAAAGCTAAGCACAGACAAACAAAAAAAAAAAGTTCAGCGTATGAAGGAAATAAGTGGGGATCAGATGGAATAAATAGGGAGAGATGGAAGTGAATGGTGTCTTTAAAGAAATAGAGTTTGAGCTGAACCTGGTCTTGCTTGACCAAAATACCTCAGAGCAATCTAAAGCGAAATGCATTTACATTGGCTCACAGCTCCACAGGGCTCAGTCCATCACACAGGCAGGGCTTGGTGGAACACACCCTGCTGGGCAGGGAAGCAGGGTGGAGAAGGCAGGCTATGCGGGTGCCCTGCTTGCTTTCTCCAAAGTTTACTGCATCCAGCCTCTCCTGCCCACATTTGAGCTGTGCTCCTTCTTCAGTTCATCCCCTCAGGAAACATACCCAGAGACCCACCTCACCAGTCTCTTAGGGGACTCTAAATTCAGTCAAGGTGACAACGGAGATTCACTATTATACCTGGATCAAAAGGTGCCAGCTGTACAAAGAGCAGAAGAACATTCTAGGCAGGAAAACAGCCACGCAGGAAGGAAAGAGCTTTGTATCATAAGTGGGGTGGGAGGGTAAAGGGGACCCAATGCCAGAAGGACAGGGGTATGGAAGGGACAAGTGAGGAGGGCTAGTCAGAGTCGGGCTGGAGCTTTAGTCGGGAGTGAGGAAGACTTGGGGACTCTGGGGGGAGAGGAGGCCATTGGAGGAGAGTGAAGGTTATGACTCAGCAAAGCTGCAAAGGCCTAGCAGGAAGGATTACAGGCTTTGTGAGCCCTCTCTCCTGCGGCCACTCGCTCGGCTCTGTGGAAGCAGACACAGTCGATACATTAGCGATGACTGGCTGCATCTGATGAAATTCCACTTCTGGACAATAAAAATCCAAATTTCATAATCTTGTAGTTTGTTTGTTTCTGTTTTTCGAGACAGGGTTTCTCTGTGTAGCTTTGGGGCCTGTCCTGGAACCTTGCTCTGTGGACTATGCTGGCCTTGAACTCAGAGATCTGCCTGCCTCTGCCTCCTGAATGCTGGGATTAAAGGCATATGCCACTACCGCCCAGCTGAATTTCATATTTTTTTGTCACAAAATATTAGCTTTCCTCCATCATTTAATAATAGAAAGTTCTTTTTTTTTTTTTTTTTTTTTTACTTGTGTGACTGATACAAAACTAGACAGCAGCCAGGTTTGGCCCCCAGGGCACGCTGGGCAAGACCCTGATTAGGAGTCCTGATTCACAGCCCTCGGGCATTGGGCAAGCAAAGCTGAGATCTGATTAAGAGATTTTTTGCAAGGAATCTATCAAAAGAAGATGAAGGTTTGTGTGTGGCTCAGCAGAAGCCATGGGGATTCCAGGCGGCGCTGATGTACAAGGTGTGGGGCTGGGACCGAGGTGAGGTGGGGATGACTATGATGGTGCCATTCTCTGAGAGGGGATGGCTGAAAGGAACCTGCTATGGGATGTCTTTCCTTATGCTGTGAATATGTGTTACTCTGATTGGTTGATAAATAAAGCTGCATTGGCCTATGGCAGGGCAGGATGGGGCAGGGATCCAGGAGAGATAGGGGAGGAGAAAGGAGAGTGGGGCAAACGCTAATAGCTGCCACCAGGAGAAGCAAGATGTAAAGTAGCGGTAAGCCAGAAGCCATGTGGTAAGGTATAGATTTATAGAAATGGGTTAATTTAAGATATAAGAGCTAGCTAGCAAGAAGCCTGCCATGGCCATAGTTTGAAAATACTATAAGCCTCTGTGTGTTTATTTGGGTCTGAGCAGCTGTGGGACCAGCAGGACACAGGAAAACTTCCAACTACAGGAACTGATCTCCAGTAAGAAATCTGGTCATTCTGTGTTGGCATCTATTGGCATCTAGAAAGATTCAGACTTGACCTGGAGCCCAGCCAGCAGGAAGTCTCTGCTCCTGGATTTCCCCACCCCCACCCTACTCCCCACCCCCCACCCCCGCCTTCAAAGCCTGTTATTTCCAAGGTTTGTAGCCTCAGGCAAATCACCTCCGGTCAGTCTTTTTGCTTACCTCAGCAGACAGAATATTTCCTTAGTCAGTGGTGGAACCAGTGAATTTCACTGGAGACTGACAAGGAGTTCCCTCTAGTTTCAGAGCCTCAACCCTCCATCCCTCACCCACTCCAGCTCCAGCTCCAAATGATGCAATGACCGATCTTCAGATTGTGTGGGGAAATGGTGACATAACCCATTCACTGCACCGTGGACTTTCTAAAACTCCACTCTAACCCCCACTGTCCTATGAAGTCCTCGCTGTGGCAGCCGGCCTTCCTGGGGCACGCCTCTGTTTAAATTTTTTTCTCTTTCTCCTCATCCTGTCTTTGGTCTCACAAAGCCCTGTCAGGGCTGGAGGAGAGGAGAGACCCTCATGGTGGAGCATTGTGTTTTCATGAACCCATGTGTATTACTCTCTGTCACTGTGATAAAATACCCTGACAGAAGCAACTTCAGGGGGAAGTGTTTATTCTGGTTTACCATTACTGTGGGATTCAGTTCATCATGGTGGGTAAGGCATGGCAACAGGAGCTGGATGGTCACACTGCATCCACACCCAACATCGTTGCCTGGCTGTAATATTGCAACTACAGTTTTACCGTGGGGGAAGTAGATAAAGGTACAGGAATCTTCTATGTGACATTTCTTACAAATGTGTGTGAATGTATATAATAATCTTAAAAGGTTTATATACCTTGGAGCCAGCGAGGTGGTTTAGCAGGTAAAGATATTCACACCAAGAATAATGATCTGAATTTGATCCCCAGGATCCATATGCTAGAAGGAAAGAACTCCTATAAAATATCCTCTGCCCTCCACATGTGTACACACACACACACACACACACACACACACACACACACACACACACACAGAGCGCGCGCGCGTGCGTGCCTTGGCCTGTAACCCCCACTGAACGAATTAGAAGTTAACCTAAACTAGGAAGCCCTCTTTGGGGTCTTTAAATGATGTTCTCTACTTTTATCTACAATAAAGACAGATCAACCTGGGCTGGAAAGCAGCACTGTGGCAGAGTGTTTGCCTAGAATGTGCAAGGCCTTGGGTTCAATTCCCAGCCCCACAAAACAAA